GCGCCTTGAGGGCGCATATCAGAATAGTTCCGAGACACCAATTGTTTTTCAGTCATAGCCAAGATGGTTATAGATGCGGCTGGCATACAGATAGGATGCGCAACAAGCAGGTGGAATTTAGAGACAAAAGATAGCTGTAGATTCATTGCATAATTTTATGCCTTGATGAATAATGAGTACATATATTCTCATTCACATATCACTATGGGTATGATAAGCACCTAACAGTTCTTCATAGCATATCACATTTTTTCAGACAATGGATGGCAGAGAAAACAGAGTGATGTAACGGCACATCTTAGCAAAGGAAAGGCAGGCAAGAAGCAAATGTGCATTCCAGCAAAACTTATCGATACAGTTTAATTCTTTGTTTTAATTTTGAGCTTTGTGATTGGATGAGAGCTAACTGCAATGCAAGAGGATAAGATGGCTATAGATTTTGCAGATTAGTTTTCAAGTGATGCAGCTTAGATTTCAAGAAGGGGATGTAGCTAAATTAAAATGAGGAATTAAAAGGACTATTGCTTAACTAAAGGTATCAGTCATGTTTTCATAATCTAACCTTATATACATATAAATATTCACAGATAAAATATTCCAGGCTTGCTTGGAGTTATTCTCTGAATGTTTAAAAAATTGATTAGTTTGGTTTGGTTTATTTAATTATGCGAAAGCACACTAGGGCTATCTGCCTAAGGGGAGGGATGCCTTTGTGGAGGACTTTCTAAGGGAAACTGGCTCGTATACACGTTACACATGGGGAAAACCACAAAAACACTCATGCAGCCAGCCTGTTTGCGGGATTCGAACCTCGGATCGAATTACCAGTGTTCAGCGATTTTACCGCTCGGCCGTTGGTGGGCCTAAAAAATTTATTAAAACAGGATTGATTATTTGTCACACCTTGATTAGATGTCGCATGACAAAAATTCATACATTATTTATCATTTAATTAATTTCTGTATGTGTTTTGTACCTTACCATTTTTATGTTTGTTTCTTTCATGTTGGTTCTACTTGTCCTTTTATTGTTGCTTTTTATTTTCAAAATATTGTATTTTCTAAATGCATAATTACTTAATTATTATTTGCATTTTTTCATGCGTACACAGTGGCGTAGCTAGGGTGTGGCAAAGGGGGACATCTGTCCCTGGGTGCAGCATCCAAGTGGCACCCAATTGATACTACAAAATTTTTTAATGAAATATTTTCCACTCTTGGCACACAGAAAGGAGAGTAAATTCTTCAGTTGTCCCAGGGTGCTGGAATCTAATTATGTCTCTGTGCATGCATATATATGCATTTACTCAAAAATATGACCCTCTTTACATTTTGGGATTAAATAAAAATGCAAATGAATATTTGAGGAGATCGAGGTTCTGCTTAGAATGGAGACAAGCTAATTAAATATTATATATAATTATTTTTGGTACACAGGAAAAAAAATGTTAGAACAATTAATGATATTAAAGTACTTATTTGCTTTCAAGCATACCAATAACCAGTATAAATGACAACCAGTGTCCAAACAGTAAAGTCACCGAACACTGGTAATTTGACCTCATTCAGATTCCTGTGAATGAGCTGTCTGCATGGGAGTTTCCATAGATTTCCTTATGTATAACATTGATACAAAGCCTTAAAATGTCCTCTATGAAGGCATCCCTCCCCACAGCCATTAAAATACTATTTTAAAATCCAAATATGTTACAAAATGGCAGCAAAAAGAATGGTTAAAACAACAGCCAATTTTAGTGCCAGTATCTAAAAAATACATGACTAAACATGGTACATCACATGCTACACAATTACCATAAATTTTAAAATTAAAACAAAATTTTAAATTAATTTCAATCTAAATTTTACAAATTAAACTGGCAGACACTTGAGATAGAAAATGCCCCATAGATTCACAGAAGTAATCTATCATAAAATCTTTCTCATTAGATGGATTAGTTGGATTATGGCAACTAAGTTTCTTACCCAATTTGATTAACCCTTTCTACACTAATAACATTTACTGCTTATAATAAATCTCTCTTAATATCATTACTTCAAAATTAATTTATATCATACAATTCTTACAAAATAGATAATAATTAAAAATTTTGTGAATCAAAACTTAAACAACCAATCAAAATGGAGCTAAACAGAAACTGCTTTATTACGAAACAGGTTTTCATCATAAGATGGGTCTAAATTTTTCTGTCCTTTTCTTGGCTGAAAGCCTGCTGTCCACTGCTTTCTTTACTACGAGTACATCTTAAAAAACACTTTTACTGTTAAGTAAGCATGTGCTTCATTTGTGTTATGTAAGAATCACATGACAGGGATTAATTCTGAAATGATTTATTTAAGAAGCACTTTACTATTTTCAGAATAGAAAAGAGAAATAACCAAATTAAAAAAGATAATTAAGGAGTTATTATTAATCTGAATTAAAATTATTCCTTTTATAGGTATACTGTCAAACAATTTTTCACATATATATGTAGGTACCTGCAAATGCAAACTTGCTACATGAACAGAAAATGAAGTTATTTAATGTAACAGAAACTTGTCATTTTATTTAATTGTATCTCTATGCATAAACCTTTTAAAAGACAAAAATTTTATAGTCACATCTATGGCTTTAAAATATGAAACCTCCACATTTCCCAAGATTTTGATATAAAAATTTCAATATAATCAAACATGCTGATATAAATTTACAAATATATAGTACAGTACAAAGTCTTTAATCCGAACTCATCGGGACTTCGGCGATTCCGGATTTTCCGGATTTTCCAGATTATAGATCATCAATTTAAATTTGGTAAGATGGCATGCAGAAATTATAAAATTAAAAATATGAAAACGTAATTTATGAAATAAAGAGCAATTATGATCTAAAGGGTATCAAAATTTACAACAACAAAAAAAAAAAGGGAAAAAAAAAAGCTTAATATTTATTTGTTTACTTTATTAAACATTTCGTTCAATGAAAGTTGTTTAAATTGCTTCGTTTTTTGTGTGTTCAGTTACAAAGTTCCACTGTTCAAGTCCTGTAATTGCTGTGCTGAGAATACCGACTAACTTGTCAATCGAAATTTTTTCGTTTTCACTACCTCTCTGTCACTTTTTTCATGCCTTTATCCATTTTTTGCAGCAATTCCACTTTTTGTTTGATTGACATCGAAACATATTTTCGCTTTGTAGATCCTTTGGCACTTCCAGAATTGGAAACTCTTTTTGACATAATCGAAAGTTCAAGTTTAATTTTTATAAAATATCTCTAACAGTCTGCAAAAAATAATAAGCCGGATCCAATTAGAAGATTAAAGAACAGCACAATCTGCAACATTAACTGAAATAGATAATTAGATTTAGCCTAGCTTATACTGTCCGTTATACATTAAACGCACATGCATAAACGTATATGGGCATGCGTAAATGTATTATGTGCATGTGTAAAGACACATTTACGCATGTGTACATTTACGCATGTACATTTACGCGTGTGTACATTTACGCATGCGCAGAAAGTTTGTAGCTTTGAGATCCGGATTTTAGATCATTCAAGATTATGGATGTCCGAATTAAAGACTTTGTACTGTACAATGTCCAAAATCTGAATATCAAACATCCAGAATACATAACCTAATCTTTTCGATCATCAGAAACTTTTTTTTAAACCAAATTTAGGAGTTGAGAACATAATTGTAAGTGTGATGTAACAGCCATTTTTCTTCTGATTCAATAGGATTCCTGTACTCGCTTTAAAACAGCTGCTGGCTAGGGAATCACACCATGGCCAATGACAATGTACTGATTGATAGCCATGACCCTACATTTTTGGCCCTTCAGCGATTGTGGAAATATAAGTGTGTGTGTGTGGGCGGGGGGGGGGGGGGTATGATGTTTTTCCATTTAATCGAAACAATAAGCGAAGCCCCAAGATATATTTGTTGGGAATGGGTGCTGCTAATACTGGTTTTCTTCTGCTGACATAACAGCAGGAAGAGAGATAGAATTCAATTCGGATGAAATTAAGTTCAGTTAACATAGCAAATTGCACTCTTCCTTAACTAATAATTTGATCCAGCTTATTATTTTTAGCAGTTTATTATTACTCCAGGTATCTTATCAAAACTAAAGTTTGAACTTTCAATTATGTTAAAAAGATTTTCTAATTCTGGGGCTGTAGTAGGACTTGGAAACAAAAATATTTGGTACTTCCTACAATAGTGGCCTTGGTTCGATTCAAACTTAAGACTACCATAGTGGCCTTGGTCCAATTCAAGCTTAAGAAAGTGTAATTTCAAAATAAGCCAAAAAAGCAACCTTATTTTGCTTCCAATTAATGGACTTCATGAATAAATGTGCAGAAATGATAATAAATAAATATAATGTGTTTCCTAATGATAATGCGCCTATCAGCAACTAACAGACTGCACAATCTGAAAGATGGTTTTAAATCCATATAATATCACTAACAATAGTGATGAAAGTGATAAAGAGATTTTTGAGAATGAAAAGATTTCAATTCTCAGTTTAGAGGGAATTACTGATAGGGTAATTAAAAGACTTCAACAACGAAACTCTGTAATTGCGAAAGAAAATTATGTCTATCTATTTGTCAAGAAATTATGTCTATCTATAAAATTAAACAGAAAGTATAGCACAATAAACAAAAACTTACATCGAAAGAAAATTTTAATCAAACAAACAAATACTGAGCTTTTTTCTTTTTTTTTTCCCTCATTAATTTCAATTCTCTTAAAATCATAAATGCTTCATTATTTCATAATTTTAATTTTAAAATCTCTTCATATCATTTTACTAGATTTCAACTGATAATCTAAAATTCAGAATCGAAACAATCCTGATAATTCAGGATCTTGGATATTTTACTACACTAATAATTTCCAAATACAAAATAGTATATAAAAATAAGTGATTTAATAAAATTTAAATAATAATTAATATTTATTTATATTTAACATTTTAGGATAAGCTTACTTTTGCTTTTTCAGCTACTTTATTTAAAAAGTCTTTCCCTTTCAACCATCCCCACACACTACTTTCATTACTTCTTTCCTGTAAACTGTTCCCACTGTCATCTAAAGGTAGAGGCAAAATCAAAGCAGAGTGCTGTTGAATGGGAGGTTCAACATAACTTTGTGGTACAGGTGATGCTTGAGCACTTTGAGATGGAGCTGTATTAGCTAAGTACCTGATCAGGAATGAATTGTAAAAATTATTATTTGTAAAAAACAAATTATACAATAAATTTTTAAAATAATATGAAGAACATTTTGTAATTGGTTACTTTAAACTTATATAACAACAAACTCATATATAAGGTATTTACTCTCTCTTTTCTACATGCTTTCGTGGTATAACTGGATGCCCGCTCGGTGCGTATTCGGGACGTTTGGAGTTCAAATTTCAGCAAGGGCATTGTGCATTTCTTCAGTTTCCTGAATTCAAAATTTCTAAAATGACTCTACAGTGACAACTGAAGTAAAAAAGGTGGATGATACTACTTTGTCACCACAAGGATTTGGCAATAGGGTCTCCTAATTCCCAGTCACCCTTTAAAAAGGGTGTATATAAGATGTTTATTCCCTCCTTTCTGCATGCCTTCATGGTGTAACTAGAAGTATACTCCCTGTTTATTCCGAAGGTCAGACGTTTGAATCCTGGTGACGGTATTGCAAATTTTTCAAGTTCCTGCATCTTTATAACCTAACAGCTCTATAATATGTGTGCATATATATACATGAATAAAATAAAAAGGAAAAGATGGAACTTAAATGATAGATAATAATTTCTTCCCTATGAAGGCCCTAACCAATTCTCTCGATGAAAGTTGTAACCCAAAAGAATAAAATTCAAAGAAACTTCAAATACGTATACAAATACAAAAATACAAAAAAGAATAAATAATACAAAAAAGATATAATATATGTACATGAATAAAATAGGGATGCACATAAAGCACTCTCAGAGTAACCATTTCCAAAATAGAATGAATTATTAAGAACATAAATAAACAAAAGAATTGTCATATTATTATTCTATTAACGGCAACTCTCTAACCTATGCCACACCAAAAAATATCTATTAAGGCAGCCAAAAGAATATTAAATTTGGAACTACTCTGATATGCGCCCTCAAGTCGCCAAATTTCTCGCCAAACATTTTTGGCGAGAAACTCCACGCCATATTGCTATCTAAATTTTTTGTCTACATTTTGAACTTTAAGCCTAAATTGTCTCCAAAAACACGGCTTTCACGAATGTGAAAACCACGTTTCGAACACACAATTTAAGCTAAATATCCGAAACAAAAACAAAAAATTTAGATAGCAAAACCGTAAAGTTTCTAACCAAAATTATTTGACAAGAGTCCATGTACACAGCGATATGTTTTAACTTAAAAAAACATCTACGAATTGCACAATTTAGGCAACAAACGAATCTACAAACTACGCACACCTCACTTTAATAAATTAACATAACAAAAATAAATTTCAAAGAATACCATGTATACAGCGTTCTGTTTCAACTTTAAAAAACATCTACGAATTGCACAATTTAGACGGTATGCACTAATCAACAAAATAACTAAAATAAATTTCAAACAATTCAAAAAACATGCCGCCACGTAATCACTTATTGTATTTATATGACAGCCAGACACACTATCCAGAAAATTCATACTATGGTTCACAAATAAATAAAATGACAAATCCCTACTTCTATCATGCACAGGAACTAAAAATAATCTCCCAGACCCTCTTTCTACACCTCCAAATACCCACTGTCCCTCAACAGGATGGCCACGGCGGTATTTCCTTTTGCCAAACTTCAATTCAACAACTTCCACCATTTTATCTTCCCGCCCTAGCTTCTCAGACACAAAGCATGACGCGAACCAACGAAAGATTTTTCAACGTCAACAGGGTTGCCATACAACACGCAATTGTGCCAAAAACCAGCGCATTTGGTGAACGTATTGCCACATTTGGTGAAATTAGGGTGTATATAAGAGTTGTACCTTAAATTTAGCTATCAAATTAAAATATTTGGTTAGCCTATATTTTAAGGTGCCCCTTGGATTATCAGGAAGTTGTTAATTCGAGAACAGAAGAAAAGAAACTTTGTTGGACGTAATTATATGGAATTTTAAGTATCCTGTCCGAAGGAAATGCATATGATCGAACATAAAATTGTTCAAATGGTTTTGAATGGGTTTGTCACAAGAAAGGTTCAAATGCTCACCATATAAAGCATTCCATTAGAAAGAGAACATGGTTTGAGGAAAGTTTTTGGATGTTGTTAAGGAATTTTGTGTGGGCTAATCTTTGGTATATGGTACAGGTAGTTTCGCGACATTTTGGTAGGCGATAAAGGTTACTACTTAGGACTTTGGGAATAATGTGAGAAGTACTCAGTTCTGATTACACATTATTTTGTGAGGGAAATGAGAGATCATGAGATATGTCGTGACATTAATGGACGAATTACAGTTCTTTAATCGGAAAAGGGGGGAAATTTGGAAAAATATCTGCAGTACTATAGTATTTTGTATTAAGCTTCATTGTGTGTTGTGTGAAAGAGTGTTGATTAATTTTTGGATCACATGGCGCTATCTAAAGTAAATTCTAAATTTTTAATGCGTTTATCTGATAATCCAAAAGAATTGGTTGAATGGTGTATGAGTGTAGGATTAATTGCGGATAAGTATGAATGTTTTTAACATGTGGGAATGAAATGAGATAAAAGAGAGATTGTGTGAAAGGAAGGATATTACAGATAAGTTTGAATGGCGGTGCAAGAAATCTGGTGAAAATGGACATTTTGTGATCCACCATGCACTCAAGATTCTGTAGAAGATTAGGTAAGTTAGTATTTTTAATAATTTGAGGATATTATTTTTATGCATTGTTTCTAAATGTAAGAAGTAAATAATTAATATGGTATTATTGGAAAATTGTTATTAGCAATGATTAGTTTAAAGTAATTAAGATTTTAAGTTAATTAGGATTGTAAGCTAATTTTTATTAATTTAATGTATGTGCTTTTATTTATATTTTAAGTAGTGATTTTTTAATTTAATTATATTTAAATTTAATGATCGTAATTTTGTGAGTTATATGTTTGTAGTATTTTGGAATACGTTTGAGCAGAAGTAAATGTGCATGGAAAGAATTTAAATATTTGACACTAAGTATTTGGAACCATTTTTAATGTTTGTGTTATGAATTGGCAGGTGAGGTTTATAATAGATAATTTAGAGGTAAAAGTTTTGGGATATTTTATTTATTTTATACGTGGAAATGTTCATCCTTGGAAAGGGTATATACTTTTTCGCGATCACAGTACATGGACACCGAGCTTGTGCAATTCTTTGACTTGTTATTTTGGTTTTGTCTAACAGCCATCTTGAAATTATGCCTTGCTGGCCAATCGCAAAAAAATTGCCAATTTTCGCCAAGGGGTACCCTTAAATATATTTTTACCAAATATTTTAAGGTTAATACAAATCAAGAAATTACATTTCCAGTTTTTATTATGATAGCAAACTATTTTTCTATGAAAACAGTACTTAACTATTCTTGAATTATTAATTTTATATTTTCTCAGTAAGCTATAATTTATTACACAGGCTTTATTTATGAATAACGGGCAAGCCCGTTAAGATGACGGGGCTGCAGCCAAAGCAAAATTTTTAAGTTCTATGTACCACCGAAAAGCAAGATAGCAATTCAATACTGGAGGCTGCTATAATAAGAAAATACTGAATATTTTTATCCTCCATGCCACAGTGTGTTGTTGCTCAGCAAAGAGTTAAGATGTTTAATTTTTCTTTCAAATTTATTCTGTTATTTTTTTAACAAACTAAGTGATTTAAAAGCGATAACTGCAGGTGCATATAATTATTATAAATTACTAGCTGGATCCACAAAGTTATATTAGCTGGAATCATTAAAATTTAGACACAAGTCACTAGTCTAAAAATAAATAATTAACTAAAAGCACTATTAACAGCTTTAGTTCCCTTAGTGAAAAAAATGATTCATTATTTCACAAACAATTTCATATTTTTAATTTTACAATTTTCACATGTCATCTTAATAGATTTAAACTGATAATCTATAATGTAGAAATTGCTGTATCTCAGATTTTGCTCTACACATATATGGATACAGTTGTTGGTCAATATAATGACCCCTCACATCCTACAGAAAAATATAATGAGAGGCCAATACAACGAAAATGGATTTAATGTACTCTCATCAACTAGAGATATCTTGCACATATAATTAAATGATTCTTTAACTACGAGTCATTTTAATGAATTTCAACTATATCACAAAATTCCATCACATGTTTATCATAAAACAGTTGATAGCAACAACAAAAGATTACTCTTAAAATTTTATTGATCGCTATAATGAAAATGGATTTAATGTAATCTCAGCAAATGGTGATACTTTGCATGTGAATGAAATAGTTACTATAGAGTCATCTTTATGAGCTTCATCTATATAAATCACAAAATCCCAACATTTATAAAATAACTGGTAGCAACAATGAAAAGTTAGTCTAAAATTTTATACACCTACCCTTGCTGTAAAGTGGCATATTGGCTTTGAGTTGCTTCTGGCATGGGAGGTGGATCTGATGGATTTACAGGAATATCTGATAGTGGTGGTAAGAACATTGCATTTGAATGATGTTGAGAAGGATCATAAAAAAGTATTGGTTGCACATTTTCTGATTCTGCTGCAGGAAAAGGATGTGATTGTGTCACTGGCAAAGTCTGAGATTGACCACTTGAAGCAAGAACAGTGGATGTGTCTACAGGATTTGGTGGGAAAACAGAACCTGACATTGCTGACTTATTATCATCTGCAATGTATAATTGAATAATAATAAAACTAATACAATTAAAACATGAAAACAAAGCAATATAAGTTGAAAGGAATAGTAAAATAACATGTGATGTTCATAAATCTCTTTATTATCATGCACATTATTTCATGAAGTTCATCACATCATTTCATGAATATAACGTCATTTCCTCATCGTTGATTAAAATATAAAAATTTAAATGTTTCTAAAATTACACTAATATTTATTGGAAAATGGCTGACAAGTCTTTAATTTTGAATTGCCAGCTCTGCTGGGAAAATGTGGAAATTTGTCTTTTAAAATAATGCACAGTCACTCATTAAATTATATATTACCTTTTCATAAAGCTAAATGATATCTGCTTATGTGAAAGACTGACAAATTATGAAATTGTGATGTATGAATACAAATTACATTAACAGCAAATTACACTTATGTGATTCAATATGACAGTATTTAAAAAATTCTACAGAATTATTTAATTGGAATTATACAGTATTTACTGAAAATGTGAGTCATCAAGTAAAAAGCATTGAGCATGTACATGATATGGTCAGCTGAATATTGACAACAAAAATTAGAACAACTGCCTGAAGAAAATTTGTACTCACAGTATTCTAAACAAGGTTTTTCGTAAAATTTTTGGGCCTTAAAAATAGTAGAAACTGATGAAAGGATTTTTACAAAGCACATCAAATACTAATTGTTTATTAAATAAAGATTTTCTTCAAGATTCAACAATAATGACTTTGGTGGGATGTCTGCAACTTTCGTGATTTGATGGCAGTCAACTTTCACAGTCGATAAGATAAAACAAAAGGGTGCTACTTTGGTAGATGATTGCACGGATTTTTGATGATTTACATTGCCGCATTTGTTGGCGCGGTTTTACGGTCTTCAGCCATCTTGAAAAATGCTGTTTTTACGTATTTTACGCATATAGTAAAGTATTCGAAACTTTAAAAAATAAATATCACTAAAAATAATGGATTAATTTTTTGTTGAAAACGTTTTTTAAGATGGCTGGCTTCAAATAAAAATTAAATTTATTTTTATTATATTTTATTATAAGCCATAAATAATATTTAAAACACTTAATTTATGCATAATAAAATGCATTATTTTTTTAAATAAAATGGCAACAAAGTATTGGTTACCATAAATAACTTGTCCAGCAATGGGTTTACCATAAGTCGTATCGCTCGCCAAAATCCGTGCAACTGTCTACTAAAAAGTAGCACCCACAAAAGTAGTATTTTTCCCTCCCTTATTATTATTTCATATCCCCCTCCCTACGTTTTCCCCAAAAAAAATCATATTTTGCTGAGGATACAAAGATGTTATTTTTTACATTACAAGTTTGGGGTAAAGTAAAGAATCGCCCACTTATTGGTTTGGCGCTTTTTACAACATTAAGAAGAATTGGTGTGTGTGTGTGATTATGGCAAAGCCTCGAGGGCTATCTGCCTAAGAGGAGGGATGCCTTCGTGGAGGACTTTCTAAGGGAAACTGGCTCGTATACACGTTACACATGGGGAAAACCACGAAAACGCCCATGCAGCCAGCCCGTTCGCGGGATCCCCCAAATTTTCTTATAATTATGATACAATATTTTATGATATGTATATTGTATAAAAGATATTACTGCTGAAAAGACAATTCATATTTTCTAATGTCATATAAATACATGCCTTATTAAAAATAACTTAACTATGCCTAATAACAACCAAATTATATATGAATTAATCATGTGTGACAGTCAACCCCACATAAGCCAGTAATACTGATAAACTGTGTCCTTTCAAAAGTACTTTAAAAAGTAAACACATACATATAAAGCTAAAACATTAATTCCCCAAAAAGTATAACAAAATGCATATGGTAATCGACCTTTTTGAGATTCATCAACTTTACCGTCGACAAATTCAAAAGTTGATTCACCATTCGTGTCATCATTAACTTCTTCCATCATATTTCTGAAATAAAATTATAACAGTGTTTCAGATCTAAAACTGCAAAATATTTACGTGTAAATGATTCATTCTCAGTTTTACGTTACAGATGTCATATTTAATAGCTTAAATCTATGAAATTAGACTCACTTCATTAAAAGTAATTAGTAAAAATATCTACACAACAACGTACAAGATAAAAGAATGACAATACTCTTCTGCTCTCGTCGATCAAAATAAATTTAAAGCCACGTTAAAAATGTAGCAAAAGTAAGTTGAGATGTTAATCGCTTAACGTGGCGTCGAGGTTGTAACGATGGAAATAAACTCATAAAAATTGAATAGTTGGGTTGCCATGCTCTGCTGTTTATCGTTAATTTGTCACACATTTCTTTGGTATCATTATTTTAGATCTCGCATTTTTCCAAATTTGAGTACACATTTATCTGAAGTAACAACACATTTAAGATAGAACATCATGATTTTTTAATGGTGTGTATGCAATAATTGAAAAAATTTCATTTATAATTAACTTCACGTTTTCAGTTTTACAAATATAAAATTTAAAGAGGAGTTTACACTAGCGCAACTTTGCTCCCAAGAAATGTACGCTAACTCGATTACTTTGCCTAACGGCCATATTTGGAAGGGAATTGACGTAAACCTAAAGTTCTAATCAAGGAGGTTAGAATAGAAGGAGGGAAGGTTCAACTCAAACGGTGAAGCTTGGCGGCCATGTTACTGTTATCACTGTGACTTATGCAAGGAAGTCTGTAATTGTAACATTTCCCCCCCCCTTTTCTTTTTGAAGCATGTCAGCTTATATTGCATATGGATGCACAAATAGATTTTCAAAAAATATTCCTGGGATTACTGTTTACTCGTAAGTATTGATTTTCTTTTTTTTTTGTGTGTGTGTAATTTCATAAATATGTTAAAAAATATCACAATGTCATGTTGTTTTCTTTCCAGATGTGAAAAAAAAAGACTTAATAATAATCGAAACATGTTAAATACATTTTAATGTTTTTGCTTACAGCTGGTATTTTCGTTCCTTAACATACAATGATATGTGCTAGTAATTAAACTGTATGATTTGAACGCTTAGGTAAATAGTTTCATAATTTTCATGAAAAGTAAGAAATCAATTGTTACTATTTTTATGAATTGTAAAAGTGTTAAATAAAGCAACGCTTTCTTTATGCATTAATTATTATTTCATTTTTAAGTTTTGTGAACTGTTACGAATATAATTTGTGCATTTGATCGAAGATAAACTGTTCATGTTGTTAAAATGTTTTTTTGCATAAACTTACAAATTTCTGGGCAGTATTGCGATAATCGTAAGTAAAATATTTACACAATTGAACATGTACGAAAAGATATATCCAAAAATTATATAGGTACATTTCATGTTAATTCAGCTTGATTCAGGGTAATTTCTTTGAGATTTATAAATATGAAACGCGCATAAACTGAAATCATTGAATTCACATAAATCTGGTTTTATTTTATTAATATTTATTTGCTTGTTGATTATAAGGTTGTTGGTTGTGAAAAAAATCTATTTAAAACATTCATTTAAAAAAAAAAAACATGTTACCCCATTTTTTTAGATATCATCTGCTATTAATTTCAGGTAAAAATTATTCTAAGTGCTTCTTTAATAAATTGCAATATTGCGAATAAATCAGAAATATCACTTCTTAAAGAAACAATTGGAAAGTATACCCAACAAGTTGATAATAAAACCTATACAAATTCTTGAAGTTATGCAGAAACATCATTTAGATTTCGAACTATTTCTTAATGATTTTCTGTACTTAGTAAATTACGGATATCATCTTTATAACTTTAAAACAAAAAACTAACAATAGCGAAGCATTTCATTATAAATTTAAGATATTTTTACTGGAAAATCCCTGCATATAACAGCTGAGAAACACGTACGTTTCACTACCGTATGGCAAATGTTTTGAAGTTACAAACATGGGCGACACTTGTTCCGTGGAGCTTCATTCCCCGATAGTGGAGGAAACTGCGAACCCTCCCTCCTTCTATTCTAACCTCCTTGGTTCTAATCACATTATATTCGGCTACGAAGGAATGGACGTCGAAAGAGACAATTCTCAGAACCCGCACATTTCCAAGACACCCACGTAGCCAGGTCAAAGAATATGTATTGTTAAGAAGGAAAGTTTCGCAAGAGCAGGAGTGGCTCCCTCCGAACGAAAAGGGACACAACTGCGCATGCGTGAAATATCTGTCGCCAAAGCACGAAAATTCGAATTTAAATTATCGCGAAAAGTCAAAGAACGATTCATCTTAACCCGTATTCCTCAATTTCCTGTACACGTGGAGGAGGTGGAAAATCTCGGCCAGGTACATCACAAAGGGGGAAATTCTCGCCAACAGGTTTCGTCACCAAATCCCTTGGCGAATTGTCCCTCTTCTTTCTAGCGGCGTGGAATACAAACTGGTTTACATTACGTCTATGGAGCCTTTCCTTCTTTACATAGACTTTCTTTGGCTAGGTTACCACTTTCACTTACTACAAAAAGTAATCGATTATCGCTAGGTTTGGGATCACATGGTCCTTCAGAAGCAGAAGTTTCGTCTGATTGGTTCATCTCTACCCGGGACAGAGATCCAGCCGAGACATTTTCGGTCAGGTTTGAAAAAATCCCGCGTATCTGTTACATCGTTTCCCTAACTAGGCTGGACTCTTTTTTCCTAGGAATCCTCCCTTTCAAACCAGGGCTGGTTTCTCAGAAAAGTCCCGTCTAGCAGGGAGTATCGCTAGAAGTGATGATCTCTTAAGAGATGCAAAATTTTGGACAAAGGACCAGAGAAGGGTTCTATTACGGGGCTCTTAGGCACGTAGCCTTTATCCCCACATCGTCAAAGAATTATCTTTATCCCCAAAACGAGGGTTCCGCAAAGAGGTAAATTTAGTGCCAAAATGTTAATGAAATTTTAACTCCAAACCTGTGAGATGAAAGCATTGGCCAATCAGAGACTTGAACGAGATATTTTGATGCCACATGTGAAAAACATGGCGGAAGATTTGACTACACGTCTGACTGACATATTCACAAAGCTTATAGATCTTTTCTAGTACGGCTTGCTCCGACTGTTTAAAACAGAAAACGTAGGTTTACACATGGCGAGTGTAGTGTCACTTCGGTCACATCGATTTATTGTCATAAACATATAAAAATATGCATAAATAAAACATTGTAAGTAACTAAATATTAATTTTATCGGTGTCGGAGAAGTGTTATTAGCATATCCCTACATACTAGACTCTTTATTGGTTTCTTCTTCTACTTCTTGAAGCTTGGCTTCCTTTTGGCACTTTACACCCCAATTCAAATACAATATTATTTACATATTAAACCGCAAGGACGCATTCCCTCCATTTCAAAGGGAAACGTCGATTGAAAAAAAAATCATTACACTAATAAAACTTATGAATCCTTTAGAATGTATTTAATGAGAGAGTTACCCAGGAAATTGCATCTCCAGGATTTTTTATTACAGTGGTTCAAAAGATCAGCTATGAGGTCAATAGTGAAAATTTTCATCTTCTTGAGCATAATGTTTCTAACACTATTGTACCTTCTGCAGTGGATAATTGCATGCTTTGTACTGTCGATCCCATAACATGAATCACAAAATGGCGAATTCGCTCTACAATACCTGTACAATAGTTGGTTCGTATACAACCGTTGCAATCTTATTCTAATAATTACTACTTCCATTTTCCTCTCAATGCTTAAACCTTTACTCATTGCAAACATTACAATAGCTGAATCTGAGGGTGGTATAGGAATTCTGCCAGCAGTCGACTTGTTCATCCTTAATAGCTTTTTCGATGAAAATGCAGGCATCTTTGGCAGAAAAATCCCCCGAATTATTCATATTTCTTCTACTCGCAACTTTGTTCGCTTTTTCATTTAACTCTATACCCTTATGGCCAGGAGCACAGATGACAGTGAGGTGATGGAAAGCCTTTAGCCGCTCGAAGAGCTTAAAAATGAGAGAGTTGGATCTCCTATGAGCACTGCTCATATCCGCTAACTACTGACTTGCTATCCGTTAGAATTGCAACTTTTCCATCAGGATTCAGTTTCTCAAGAAGCTAAGCCTGAGAGTTGTTTATAGGGGTCTAACTTTTCTGCTGAGGCTTGGGCCCTCAGCAGAGAAGATTGAGCTTCTGCTATCCATGCACCGGCTGACTGTCACCGCAGTACCATCTACAGCCGCAATACTAACCCCTTTATGAGACTTGGAAGCGTCTGTAGCGCAAATCTTAAATCCTTGATTCACATAATCATTAATAATGATACGGGAATATTGCTAACCTAGATCAAAATTACTAAGCTTGCCTTTAACGCACTGGCTAATAGGCTTACGTATCATATCCCATCTACACTTGCAACATTGCAGGCAATTTCTCAAATTATCCGCAATAGGAGAGGCTTCTGACAGGGCAATATTCTTTATTAAGAATTTTAATAGCAGCGATGATCTTCTTGTGTCTAAGGTGAAAACCCCTGCTTCGATATATAACAACGGAAGAAAGGTGCTGATAAGCGCCCCCTTTATTAGTTTACCAAGACCTGATCCAATTCTACTAAGACGATGAAAGTAAAGAAATCGAAGCTAACGTAACAACCGCGGCTGTCGCCAGAGTAATCGTCAGAGTTCCTCCTTTTTGGACACCAAGTCCGAACATATGGTTCTTTCAACTAGAAGGGCAGGTTTAGACATACGAAAATAGCAGCAGACAAAACAAGTATGCTGTGTGATAAGTTCCATCGAATCTGCTATATTAGCACCAGTATCTGATATTTTGCTTCGTCCGCCACAAGATGGTAAATATCAGGCAATTAAGTACAGATTAATTTCATTATATGCATACCATATAAGAGTACAGTAAGAAGAGAGTACAGAAATACTCGGCGGTAACGAATAAATTAGTAGTTACTAGAAAGCTCGCACACACATGTCCTTCATCGTCGCTGTCTGCCAGTCAGTGCTGATTTAAATTCCCATCAGCCCACCAGCGGCCGAGCGGTAAAGTCGCTGAACACTGGTAGTTCGGTCCGAGGTTCGAATCCCGCGAACGGGCTGGCTGCATGGGCGTTTTCGTGGTTTTCCCCATGTGTAACGTGTATAAGAGCCAGTTTCCCTTAGGAAGTCCTCCACGAAGGCATCCCTCCCCTTAGGCAGATAGCCCTAGTGTGCTTTGCCATAATTAAATACACACACATTAAATTCCCATCAAATTTTGTCCATACTCGCTCATGTAATTTATCTGAGATTTAAACCCAGTCTGAAATTCACTTTGAATGCATAAGTTTTCTATTTCAGCAAAAACTGCTCCTTTAATCTCAAGAAACCTTAATTTACATTCACAACATTTTGCAATTTCTTCTTCACCTTATCTTCTGTCATATTTTAACCTTTCAAATGCTAAGTGACTTGAATTTACAACTTTATCCCTTTTGTACTTTATTTTTAATGCTTCAGATCTGGTTCTTTCCCTTTTCTAGAGAACAGGTCTAAATAATTTGCATCAATTGTAAACGGTCTAAGAACAATTTTTCTTTTTGTTTCATACGTTATTTATTTTAAATTCGAAACTAATATAGTCGAACGGAAGCCACGAAATTTTAAATCAAGCCTCGAATCTCAATAACGTAAAAGATAAACATTTATTTTCAAGAATGTAGAGATTCAGCAGGAAAAAAAAAAAAAAAAAAAAAAAAAAAAGGTTCTAAAAATGGCCAGCAGAGATATAAGCATACAAAGACAAAGACAAAAATGAAAATTCTTTTACTATAGTTTCTTTTGCCAGATTAATATATTTTTATAAGTAAAGTCTCCAAACAAATTTTTTTCTAGCAATACCATTAGTCAAATTTAAATTACATTAATAATAACAGAATATCAATCTACTTAATTACTAAATTTAGCTTTTACAGTATATCTAATAATAAACTAAATTATAAGCAAGGGTTAATTAAATGCTTTGTCTGAATTTTAAAATTAACTAGAATTCTTTGGTAGCACTGAATGAATATCAATTTTAAGACACACTTTATGTTATGCACGTACTACAGATTGAATATTTTAAAGAAAGATGCGATCATTCAGTATTAATATCAATGTACTTTTAAAATTATTATCGATCATTTAGAGCACGGGTCGTCTCAAAGATTTTTAGTTGTTGTCCAGTTATTCAAGATTCATGGCCTCATATGGTATTTCCAGTCTTGCCGATTCTAATCTTGATTTAAATTTGAAAGACAGTTTTAAAGCACAAAAAGTAAGTTTTGTGTATCAAAATAAATTTTTAGTTTAGTAGTCAATAATTAGTACTTGAATATGAAATCTGAGGTTTAAAATTTGAGTACCAAATAGTCATTTCTGTATTTCTTAAGTTATTATTTTATAGAGTTTCTCACTCTTATTCTGGTAAAGTAAATGCCGAAGAATCAAATTCAATTGTTAATCAAATTATCGCTTAGTTCAAATAACAGAGGTCGTAAACTCAAGTAGGGTTAATTACCCTTTTATTTCACTCAAAAATAAGATGAACACTCGGCCGCTTTCTTCGTGCCTAACTTGGCCTCTGCTTGAGTTTAAACTCAAAAATAAGAAATAATAACTAACTACGTCTAACTATGATATTTAGTCGAAGCTAACACAATTCCAGGTGCTACTTTGGTAGACGGTTGCACGGATTTTTGGTGATTTACGTTGGCACAATTGTTGGCGCGGTTTTACAATCGTCAGCATCTTGAAAAACGCTGTTTTTACGTATTTTATGCACAGTAAAGTATTTGAAACTTAAAAAAAAATAAATATCGTTAAAAATAATAGATTAATTTTTTGTTGAAAATGTCGTTTTTTAAGATGGCAGGCAAATGTAAATAAATACATTTACAATGAGTATAAAATACTAAAGTAAGGTTAAATTATTACTTTCATATAGCAAAGAAATAGAATAAAAACACCGCTATAAAAACATTGCGCCAACGTTTAATTTGATTAAAATATTACTTAAATTGAATATCGATTTAAAAACATCATACCAACGTTTAAAAGAATTAAAATATTATACTTAAATTCAAATCCTTTAAAATAAGTTTTATAGGATATAATTATTTAACATTAAAACATATGTGGCAATAAATATCTCGGCAATTTTTGAAAACAGTGTATTAATTTTTTAATAAAAATTGAAGCATACAATTATAAAGTAAAAGAAAAATATGTACTTACATTTTTTTTGAGTATTTAACCTGTCGTATATTGATCAGTAGCATAAAAAATCGGAATCATAATTTAGATATCAATGAAAAAAATTTGAAAAATGCAATCTAAGAAATTCGAAGAGATGAATAATAAAATTTAAAATGGCGCTGTAATTTACAAATATTCAGTAACCAATCAGGAAGCTGATTACAGCTCGTTAATGCAAAAATATTCTGTAACCAATCAGGGAGCTGATTACATCACGAATAGAATTAAATTATTTAAATAATCATACATAATAAAATCATTTTTAAAAAATGCAAAATTAAATTGTATTTTAATATTTAACAGCCATAAATAATGTCTAAAACATTAGATTAAATTTATAGATATTAAAACTAATTATTTTTAAAGTAAAGTGACGTCATTCATTACATCACATGGACCTTATAAGAGATAGACTCACCCAGTGGTCGGGGCGTGCGTCACCTACATGTCGGCAAGAAAGAGTAGGGACGATCTGGTTTACTTTAACACTGAAACCTATGGCGTTTGTATCACATAACTCTTTTTAATTATTAAATGTGATACATTGTATAGTGATGAGATTATGAAAGCCACAGTTTTTTCCAAATAGGATTTAATATATCTCATTAAAGCACTTTTTAGTGCATTTCGCGCATTTTTTTTCACGCGTAATTCTTGTACAAACATCTTTACTTTGGTAAAACGGTAAAAACTCTAAGCACAAAATTTATGAACTTAATTTTGCGTAAAAATAAAGTAAAATTAAATAAGATTGATAGTACATGATGCTTTGAAATAAATAAGGTAAAATTAAACAAGATCTGTTAATTTTTTTTTAAATTTGATGAACATTTTCAGGCAGTGACTTTCCAAACTATAATAACATTACAAAACGATCATATTTATTTGATTATATGATCATTAAATTATTAACATTAAAGTGGATTAGTTATTTTAATAATTCATAATATTCGGAGCATAAAATTTTCTGAGCGTGATGAAGGGGAAAAAAGAAGGTAAAATAAAATCTAGAAGCACTCAGATTTTATATTACGCCCAAAAGGAACTTTTTTTTTAAAGTTTTGTATGTTACCTATACTTATTGAATATCATGTTCTTCGCCGGTAAACCACATACATTTGAAAACAGCATATCTTTAGAATTTCCGCACTGAAGATAAAGCTCTTATTTTCCGTACAGTGCTCGCTCTGAACTCGTTGAGTTTGTTAATAAAAATTTCGTTAAAATTTTACAAAATATGAAATAGATTAAAACAAATAAAATTCGAAAATTCGTTCTTCCAAGATGCCCATATTCGGGTGGAGGATTACATTCATTCAAAATTTGATGGCTCTAGATACCGTTGTTTTGGGTTCACAATGCGAGAAACATACATACATTCATGCAAGATTCTTCATTATTTAATTTCTTTACAAATGATACAGGACGATAATATTTGGTAACAACAATTTGCAAAGAGACACGGACTTATAAAACAGCGCAAAATGCTTTGCTAATAAAAATTAACAGTAAAAAAAAAAATCTTAGCAGAACTAAAATAAAAAAAAATCACTATAATACAAGTTAAATCGGTTAAATACAATTTTAATATTAGAATTAAAAGTATGTAGGGTTATATTATTTTAACTAACATTTATTTTAAGTTTAAACTATCTTTCCTGTCAAGCCTTACTTTCCCCTGGAACTGCCAATGCCAGAGTATGTAAATTTTAGTAGAACGCGCAAGGATTCAAATTATCAGCGGAAGTATTCTGAGTTAAATAGAAAGGAAACGAGTTCGAGGTGTGCTGTTCTTACTTCACGAGCGCGGAGGTAGTTAGCCAGAAATTGAAGAACCCCGCGTTTCGGCCTGTGTGCTTGCCTGGAAGTTAATCGTTCAACGTGATCTTCAAAGTTTGCTGAATTAGCAGCGGTATTGTAAAACGCGGTGAGGTTAGTTACTTTTAGAGAGCCTCGTAGTTAGAGTCTTGTCTTTAGTTTCTTTTCAGGTTTTATTATTTTATTTGACCGCCGAGTTGGCGTAGTTTGTGAGCGTCAAGAGCACGCAATTGTAATTTATTACGTTGAATAAAAAGGGACTTAAACCCTTAACAAGACTCTGTTTTTATCCAGTTTTCACAGTCACCTCTTGGTTGCGTGCAAGTTGGAGGCGCGCAACGCTACATTGGCGCCCGAACACTTATCGAACTGAAATGGCCGAAAATTGGATGGAAGCCGCTGGACAACACCAAGAAATGACAAGCCAATTGGAAGGATTTGGATACCTGGTCCAGACTTTGAGAGCGTCAATCAAGCCAAACGTCCATTTCGACGGAAAAAATTCGGTGGCGGTATTTCTAGAAGGTCTAGAAAACCACTTTCAGCTCTACCCCTGTGCCTGAAAGACAAAAAGTTGCCATCGCCACATCAGCACTAAGAGGACAGGCCGCGCTATGGTGGAAAAATATAGGCAAATTTTTATTAGGGGAATTTGGAAGCCAGACATATACATTTGAAAATTTCAAAAAATCGTTAGTAAAGGCCTTCCCCATAGTGAAAGATCGAGCAAGGCTGGAAGCCGAACTATATAGTTTCTATCAACGGGATATAGAAGAATTGACGGACTTTATTCTACGAAAAATTAAGCTGACGGATATGCTGTATGGGAAGAAACCCGATGCGGAGATTATTGAAATAATCTTACCAAGATTGTTACCCGCTGTTCAAGACTACTTCGAAATTAGAAACCCAAGCACATTGCAGGAGCTCTTCGAATTGGCGGTGAAGTTTCAAAATCGCAGAATAGCGGAAAAAAGCTAGAGGGGCAACGTATTCTCAAAGTACCCGAAGGAAATCTTCAAATGAGGAAACCAGAAATGGAAATCGCTCTTATGGGGGAAAGAGCTATCAAGCTAACTCATCGAAACTCGAAGGTCAAGGCCCAAAAGAAAAATTCGAAAATAAACATCCGCGTACCCAGAAGGCACAGATTGAAAGGAAAGCTTTAAACGAGTAGAGGGGCCTGTGAAAGGGAGGGTCCAGACCCCGGAAGTTTTAAAAAAACCCTCAAATAGACATTTAAATACGGTCATCGTAAAAAACTCACATCTACCAATTATACAAGTCCTGGTTGGCGATGTACCAGTAGAAGCCCTCATCGATACAGGAGCAGAAGGAAATTTTATGAGTGAAAATTTCTTCAAAAAGAATTTTTATAGGGTACGATTATTTAAAACCAAAAATACGGAAATTATAGCGGCGCAAGGAAAAACATGTCACTGCATCGGGAAATTATCATTAAACATACAGGTAAAAGAGGAAAGCCTCAAAGTATTAATTTTTGTAGTGAAAAATCTGCAAAATCTCTTATTTTAGGTATGGAGTTTTTAAGGGCCGCGAGGGCCAAATTGAATTTTCAAGATAGTTCCGTGGTGCTGGAGATGGACCAGAGGGTGGTGGAACCTGTGGAGACAACCGCAAGTGGACCTTAGCCATCTGAATGACCATGAAAGTCAAGCAATACAGCAAGTGGTGAGTAATTTTTCTAACTTGTTTTCAGAAAAAACCAGGAAAATTGTCAAAATAGTTACGCATAAAGATTCAATTAAATGCCGAAAAACCTTGTAGGACTAAACCTTATCGTATGACAAACAAAAAAGACGTAATCATCGAAGAACATATTCAGGAGATGTTAAAGAATAAAATAATAACGCCCATAAATAGTGAGTACGCGAGTCCAGTCGTACTATGTAGGAAAAAGAACGAGTTTCCTCCTTCGGATAAAAGGGCTTGGAGGTTTGCTATCGATTACAGAAAACTAAATAGTATTACTAAATTTCCAGTTTACCCTTTGCCGGTTATAGACGGAGATCATTAGACAGATCAAATCGACAAGATACATGTCTACTTTGGACTTAACGTCTGGCTACTATCAAATAGCTATGAGACCCGAAGACATACATAAAACCGCGTTTATAACAAAATCGGGCACTTATGCATTTTTACGCATGCCCTTTGGGTTGTGTGGGGCCCCATCAACAT